CCATTCATGAAAGCCAGACCGGCCCCTTCAGGGACACCCGCTGTTTGACTTGGTTCAAAACTGGGCCTGGGTACAAGGCTGCAGTTGTCTGTAGCCACAGGCTGCAGAACTGCAGGTATTTCCGGACTAAATTCAGTCATACTGTTTAAATTCGTATTCGAATGATGGCAGAGGAACTTTGGAAAGAAGACATGGATAAAAACTAATTTGATGTCAGTGTGGGAGGGCACAAAAACAACCACAAAACTAGTCACAGTGTATTTTTTTTTAAATGTCTATTTCAGTTCTTGAACTCTAGTAAAAGCTAAGAGGAAACTGAAAACTCAAATGCTTCCTTTACCATCTTTATCTTAATGCACTAAACCCCTTGACTTTACTAAATTTCCTCCATTTTTCTTCTGCAGTGTAATGGCCCAGATGTTACTCTCCCATATTTAGTTTAGTATAAATATTTATCATAGATTTCAACACCATCATTCCAAGAACATCTTTCACCATTATGTTAATGCATATACTTAGAAATTACAAATTTCAGATCCTGTACACACCTGCAAGCACCTAGGCAAGCACTCGCGCGCACACACACACACACACATTTCCTTGCTGTATTCTCCTCTTTCAAATTATCTGTCGGGATTAATGAATTTAATTTTCACACATTAACTTCCCCCCATATTCACACATAATAGGCCAGCCCACAAGAGTGTTTAAGCAGTGTATCTGTCCATTGGGTGTCATCGTTTAAGTCTCAGCAGGGGTTTGTAATTGACAACTGTTCCAGTATGGTAAACACAACTACCCTCCCTCCGCTGTGAGTAATTCCTCCACATTAAGTGCGTTAAGAAATGAATGTCTGTCCCAGCAAACTGATGAATCATGTTGAGACTCAGTTAGTGACTGAAGAGCAATTTATAATGTCACATCACAGTGCATTAGGACATATGGACAAACCTCAGAGATGTCATCTTCCGGTAAATTTGAACATAAGTGTTCATTTTTGCAAATGGAGATGGATATACTTTGATCATTTCCCTTCCGTATCTTCTGTTTTCCCAGCGTCTCTGTACCCTGACTACACACTTTGTCTCTCCTTCTCTCTCCTCTGCTGCTGTCTCTGCTTCTGATTTAAACACACAGCAGGGGGTTATGGGTAGAGACTCACGCTGCGAAGGATCCCCTCTGACTCAGGGAGAGCTGAAGGTCAAACACACTCATGATCAGAGTCACAGGATGATGCAGAAAACGTGGAATATAAAGAGGACACGGATGAAAGCCACGGAGATAAGTTCTGTTGTCTCAACGGTGTTTTCAGCACGGTTCAGTAAAGTTTATTCTGTAAACACTGCACTGTATGGCTCACAGCAGAGGATGTCTGTAGCGTCTACAAAATACGTACAGTGAATCAATAAAAAGAGAGCAGTGTTACAGCTGTTTGGTATTACCTGAGAACAGCCAAAAGACATGCAGAGGAAGATCTCACTGTAGTCTCTGCAGAAAAGACTGATAAACTTAATAACTGCTGCATCCTCTCCACTTAATTTTTGTTTTGTCTGCATGGTTTGTGTTTCTCTCTTTTTTTAATTAGAGTCTTGACTGACACAGCAAACCTAACTAAAACAAGAGCATGAACAAGAGAAAATCATCTATTTCTTTGAATGGAAAACTCCTGGGGCCTAGATGAAGGTTTCTTTTTTCCCCTTTTCTCCTTTGCAATTTTTGGTGGAAGCATTTGCATATTTCAAAAGTCTACCAAAGAAAATAGCCTGGGGGGCAGAAATGGCCGATCTGCATATTGAACGCTCAACAGAGGGCGAGGAGTGGGAGACACAGCGAGCGAGGGAGAGGGAGGGATAGAGAAAGTCTGTATAAATAATTTGAAGACGATCTAAAAGAAACAATAATGTCAATTAGCTGATGGTGTCGTGTTCATTATGTGGAATTAATTGGAGCATTCACTACAACTAAATCAGATTATTTGCTCAGTTGTCAAGTAGCTTCAGAGAGCGAGGGAAAGGGAGAGAGAGAGTGAGGAGAAAACTGTGCATCATAAGAAGGCCTCTTCACCCAGCTTCCTTCATGAATAACAAATAGAGGAGCCTGTGCTGTGACCAGCCAGCACAACACATGAAAAACATTACTGCATTCCCTGAGTCGTCTGGTTTTCTCTACATTGTGCTGGTAGGCTTGAAACGTGGAACACTGTGCTGCTTTTGTACAGCTCGTCTGCATGGGTTGACTTTATTTTACTGGACACAGCTCAACAACAAACAGGTTGTAAAAGCTGCGAAATACGTAAACACTTAGTAATGAAAGAACAAGTAAGAAGGTTGTTTTCTAAAGGACTTCCACCACATTGTATACATTGTATCGCCTTCTGTTACCGACCTTTTAAAAACTAGTAATAAGAAAAAAGGTTTTGATTGCCAGTCTGAAAAAATCCATCTGGTTGGTGCGTATCCTCCTCTCACATGACACTTGTTAATTAAAGTTATTACAACAATCCATCCTTTGTGAATGTGAAGGTTGTGAATTATTATTACCTTAATAATAATTAGTACTAAATAATGAACACATTTACTAGTACCATTATAAACTGACTGTGCATGACTTTAGCATCAGGAGGCGCAGGAGCGCAGAGAGGAGCACCTTAGTCAGCAAAATCTATATGTTCATAACAACCATACCTGACATCTGATAATAAATTATTTCTTATGATAGTATACAAATTATTGCATTAACTTTAATGTTGATGTAGAACATTTTGTTCTCTGTATGTACATCTACATCATTTTTGAAAACATGAATTCCTAAAACTAGAAAGACAACAATGTACTGTAAAAAGCATAGGATGTGTGAAAAAAAGCGATTAATAAAACTAAACACTAACAGGAACATTTTGGGGCTTCCAGGCTGTAAAATGATGTAATCTGAAAGCACTTTCTGAAGGACTGTTTGATCACTTACCCCTTTTGAAAAGGGTTGCAGAGCATCTGGTCAACTTAACATGTAACATTCTGCAGACTTAGATTGTTGAGCCCTTAGGTTGTTTGTTTGACAGGGACATGGTACACTACATTTACTGTCTAGCTAAAAGCTAATTTTCATCAGCAATCCCTGAACAACAACCACCAAAAAAGGCGCAGGGTGTGAAATCATCAGAAAACAGACAATTTTACTGGTTTAAAATCATATACTTGAAATCACAGACACAATAACACACTACAGGTTCTACAAAAAGTAGAAAACAACCTCAACAAACTCATTAGCAAAAACTATTTCCAATCATACCCTTAATATTAATGGTGGGCACATCATCACAGACTCAACTCAGTGACTGAGCCATGTTTTCAAACTAAAGTTCTGCCTTCTGTGATACTCAGTGGTAAAGAATTCTGCACTAAGTAACATTTAGTGTCATGCTGGGGAAGCATATACATCAGTATGGATTGTTAAAAGACTTACAAACTAAAGGTTGTTCTTAAAATGACCTAGAAAGTCACAAAATTATACTTAGAACATTTCTAAACTCACTAGTTTTAACCTATAAATCACAGTTACTTTTGCTGAAAATACATTCACATAGTTATATAGCTAGAGCATTTTATTAGTTTTTTCAACCTTAATACAACATATCCTAAAATCGGATACAGCCCAAATGCAGGTGGAATATGATAACTGTACATAATGGTGGGTGGATGGATTTAACTGTTAAGCACAAAGGCTCAGGTTATGATGAAATCTGGGCAAATACATTTTTGTGTCTGTTATCTTTTACTTTTTGGATGAGATCCAAAGCAAATATACCACACATTTACTGGACTGCATCCGGTGCTCTCCCCCAGTCACAAACTTCATGCTTCTCTATCAATGCTTTACTCTCTTACAGCCCTTAAAATTGAGGCAAAACCGTGGTAGGCTATATAGAAAATTCCCCACCACAAGTGTGTTTAACTGGCCTTCCACAAACTGACCCACCATGGAAACATCCCACCAGAGCTGGTTTGTTGTTTGAGGATGGAAAATCAAACTCCATGTGCACCTTCAGTGCTCACCGTCATGGTGCCTCACACCACTGTGGCCTTTCCTTTACATTATGAAAAGGAGGATGAATTAAGATGCTGGAGGCATACAACCCCCTGTGTATACCCAGTGCCAACCTGCATATCACTGACACAGGCCTTGCTGCTTTATGATAAAAGATATAATTCACTACTCTTTGTCTGCTGTACTGTAACTAATTTTAGTAACTTCATAACCTCAGAACTGGTTTAAGACATGCACTTGTAATAATAATAATTTCACTATTTTAATATTCTGGAAGAACTTTTGTTTTGCTGTAGGTTGTCTTCCTCTTTTTATTAGATAGTTCATGTATAGTCTACTTTGCGCGTCCTTAAAGATAAGGCCAGACTTCAGCATCACCCTTTTTCACTGTTGTAACATATTCTAGCATACTGTAGCCTTTTCTGCAGCAAGAACTTCGTACAACCAAGGCTCGGTTTTCAGACACACCAACTCCTCTCTGGCTGTGCATCCAATCAGCGGGAGCATTGCAGAGCTTTCCAGCTGTAATTGGATGAGAGACGGGAGAGGACTATGCAGCCGTGGCGCACCGTAAACACGTGCTGATCTCCTTTGCTCCATAGAGGACGCACCAGATAGAGCAGAGGGAGTGAGCCAAACAACTGAGAGGACCGCAGAGGCTTTTTTGTCAAAGATTTTGTCATTACCTCTTAATCGGATTCAAAAACTTTGATATCAAAGAAGCAAGTTACAAGTGAGCGGCGTAACAGCTCCTCGGTTTGGCACGGATCAAAGGCGTTTTTACCTTCCATCAGGTCCGTGGATTACGCACGGCGGTGCTCCCGGAACAAAGAAAAGTTTTGATTTTTGTCGCACAGGAATGCGTAATAAAATGTGTTTAGCCACACACGTTTGAAAAAGTTACTGTACAAATAAAAGTGACACCCACGTCTCTATGGAGTAATTTGACACTTTAAAATTTGTATTATTTATTTATTTATTTATTACCAATCGCGCAAAAAAAGAAATACATACATATCAAGATAGATGCTTTGGGGGATGGCAGCTGCCACCTCAAGTCCATACTTAGCCAGCAGCAGGATTCTGTCCGGCTCGGTCATTCACTCTGATCGGAGGGGTGGTGGCATGCAACCGGGCGGCACCACGGTTTCTAGTGGATACAGAGGGGACCCTTCAATTAAAATGGGCCAGGGAGCAATGGTGGGAAGCAACGGGGACCACATGTTAAGCCATGCCCACCAGTGGGTGACATCGTTGCCTCATGCAGCAGCCGCAGCAGCCGCAGGCGCGGCTCCGCTCTGCACCACAGGTCCCCACATCTGGGACCTCATCAGACTCACCCGGGAAGTTGGGGAGGCACATCCGCATCGCACATAGGCATCACAGAGGGGCAGCAGCAGCCACAGTCATTCGTTTATTCACAGTCAGGCGGGTTTACAGTCAACGGGATGCTCAGCTCACATGCCGGGCAAAGCCTTATGCACTCGGGGCCGGTGCGCGGCGAGTCCCCGGAGCTGGACCACGGCAACCACCATCATCACCATCACCACCATAACAACCACTCGCACCATCACCAGCATCACGTTGTGAGCCACGAACCGCACTCCGACGAGGACACCCCGACCTCTGATGACTTGGAGCACTTCGCCAAACAGTTCAAACAGCGTCGGATCAAGCTCGGTTTCACACAAGCAGACGTGGGCTTAGCTTTGGGCACCTTGTACGGCAACGTGTTTTCACAGACCACCATCTGCCGATTTGAAGCGCTTCAGTTGAGCTTTAAGAACATGTGCAAGCTGAAGCCACTGCTCAACAAATGGCTGGAGGAGGCCGATTCCACGACCGGGAGCCCAACCAGCATCGATAAGATCGCTACCCAGGGCAGGAAGAGGAAAAAGCGCACATCAATCGAGGTAAGCGTAAAAGGTGCGCTGGAAAGCCACTTCCTCAAGTGTCCCAAACCCTCCGCACAAGAGATCAACTCTCTGGCGGACACTCTGCAGCTGGAGAAGGAGGTGGTCAGGGTCTGGTTCTGCAACCGCAGGCAAAAGGAGAAGCGCATGACGCCGCCTGGACTCCCACGTACCCCGGAGGATGCATATTCACAGGTGGGCAGCATGGGTCCTGACACACCGTCACCCTCCATAGACTGCAAGAGGATGTACAGTGACACGTGAAAATAACTGAAACAAAATGGACAAGAACTATGAGCAACGTGTTTGATTAGACTTTTAGAGAAACAGACGTTTCTCTGAACGACCGCAATCTTTGCGTTTTCTGTCCGTTGATCCATAGTAAAGTTATCCATCCTGTTTTCATGTCACAGTAGGACAAACGTCTACTTTTATGCACCGTTGAGTATTTTTCTGCATATTTGGGACATAATATTTTACACTCAGTTGAAATCTGAATAGAAAACAATTCAAAAAGTCTTTTAATGGCAATAGGCTTTTTGTTCTCTGAAAGATGATAAAAACATTTTAAAGGCTTTAAAGTCAAGAAGGTCAAAGAAAAGAAGTTCTTTCCACTCACACTGTTGCAGAGTTTCTCCTGTAATGCTGCAGATTGGGATGTCTGGGCTATAGCCTAGGTGTGTTTCCTAAACCAAGGACATTGATTTATTGCTCCTTATTTAGCATTACCCTTTTTTTAATTGATAAGTAACTTATCTTCCTTTAAATGTGTTTCTCACGTTTGTGTTGTGTGTCAATGGATTTATGTTGTGATACAAATTTAAGATGGTTAAAGAGCAAAAATAATCAGTACTGTGTTCAGCATCATAGGAAACGTCTTTTTTAAATTAGCAAACATTCCCCTAAGTTTATGTACAAGTCTGCTGTTTATTCTTGTGTGATGAGTTGGACTATTTATTTTTCCACCATGTTTATTTTTATGGAATAAAATAATTATTTAAAAAAATGACATAAGGGAAAATTGTAAGAAAACATCTGAGATGCCATCATTACTAAAGCTCCTCTGGATACACACACACTTGAAGTGAAATATTAGAGTCTGCTGCTTTTTAATGGATATTCTCCAATAAACCAATTGGGCTCTATGTGTCAAAATGGCGAAATGAGGCCGGTTTCTATGAAAATCAGAAAAAATGTACAGTCGTCATCTGATGAATCATATGAAGAAGTCATAATGGAATACAACTAAAGTCTAAAGATGTAGTTTTAATATCCCAGTTCACAGCAGCTTCTAGAGTCAACTTGTCACTTAACTGATTAGTTGATCTACAGAGAATTTTTTGGCAGCTATTTTGGTAATGGATCAGTCTTTATCATCGTTTTTCAAGCCAAATGTTTGCTGGTTCCAGACTCTCACATGTGAAGATTTGATGATATATTTGCCATTTATGGATAGTAAACTAAATATCTTTGGGTTTTGGAACTTTGGTCTAATAAAAAAAGCAATATGAATATATCTCCTTGTGCTGTTATTACAGGTATTTTCACTATTTTCTGACATTTTATAAACAAAACAACTAATCAAAATATAATAGCCAGATAGTTTCAGTCTTAGCAGCCTCATTATTTCTTTAACACATCCTAGTATTTTCTGTAATATCCACCAAAATAATCAGTCATAATCCAACGCCATTTCCTTGTTTTTACACTTTGCTAGTGTGAAACTATGCTGACCCTACTGAAACTGACTGGATTCGTAACAAACGTTTTTTCTTGGAATTTGCTTCTACATCATTGTGTGACATACTGCATATCAGTCCAGCCACTGTACATCCTGTGGCAGCCAACAGAGGTTGGCTATCCCAGCTGGCGGTTCACCTCGGCAGTGGTTGCCAAGGTGACAGGGAGATGGAGTGACACAAGGCAGAGGATCTTTTGCCACAGATGATGGGTTTGGCTCTGGAAAACAATCTGTGTTTCTTCTCTCTCTCTATAATCAATGTCCACAAACACACACACGCGCACAATAATAAACATGCTCATCAAAAATCTCACTGATAGGGAGTCAGAGAAATAGCCAGGGAGAAGCTGTAGTTGCACTGAAACTTGGAGAGAGGCAAAAAAAAAAAAAAAAACTGTTAATACAGCAGCTGCTGACAATCCAGACAGATCACTGAGGAGTAAACATACTGCATTAGTGTAGCGTTTACTTTTTTAATTACAATTTGCATATGTATTTTTTCTGAATATCTTCCAGGTGTTTCCACACTGACATCTGGTCACAGGAGATTGGCTAGATATGAACTGTTTTTAATAGAAAGTTTTTATTTAAATTATTATTGTATGTTTAATTACATGTCTTCTGCTTTCCATATTTTATTTAATTTTACTTTATTTTATTTTCCTGCTACTCTATAAACACATATGAGAGTCAGAAATAAAGTTTCATTTAGAGGGTGGCACAGTGACACAGTGGTTAGCACCGTTGCCTCACAGCGAGAAGGTTCTGGGTTCAGGCCCCACCTGGGACCTTTCTGTGTGGAGTTTGCATGTTCTCCCCGTGCTTGCATGGGTTCTCTCCGGGTACTCCGGCTTCCTCCCCCAGTCCAATTGGTGTCTCTAAATTGCCCATAGGAGTGAGTGTGTGTGGTTGTTCGTCTCTGTGTTAGCCCTGCGATGGATTGGTGACCTGTCCAGGGTGTACCCCACCTTTGCCCGATTGCTGGCCGGGACTGGCTATGACCCTGTTCAGGGATTAAGCGGCAGAAAATGAATGAATCATAGGGATAACAAATGAGTGACTACACACATGACCTATAGTATATAAAATATGTTGTTAAAATGTGTAAGTAGTCACATAACCATGTCAAGATGTGTGTATGTTTCTTTGCTGAACTTTGGCAGGATTTAAAGGCAACTAAGGCCTCATGGTTATAAACAACACTGCCTGTATGAATAGTAGATGTGAATAGGTTTTTACATGCACATTTACATCCATCATCACACAAGGTCGATTTTCAGTCTCTGAAGTGGCTAAAAGAAGACAAGTAGATATTGTATGACAAGAACACACTGATGGTAACATTTAAGAAGATTCTGCTGTTATGGGGCAAATATACCCCTGTCAAACTCATCTGAGTGAACTAAAGCTGTATTTCTTTGCTCAAGACAAGTTGACATTTTGCAAAAGCAATATTTTCACCCATAAAAGGTCAGAAAAAAAACTTCTTATTGACTTATTTTCACTTGGTTCAGAGTGAGAGTATCAGCTAACTTCAATGTAAAACAGCTAGAAGACGTAAGGCCTGGGCATCATACAGCATACAGAAGGAAGACTTCTGTATGCTCTCACCTAGCATCAGCATAGTATCACACAGAGGTGGACAGGTGGTACCACAGCTCACTGTCATCATCCACCGATAGCTCTTAACATGATGTATTCCTGATGAGCTGAAAAAGCCCAAGCTCTCTGATAAAAAAGGAGCCCAAACCTAAGCCTCGAGGATTGTAAACGCTTAGTGTGAAGATGGCGGATAAGGCTAGAGCTGGGGGGATAAAAAAAAAAACCTTTAAAGGGTTTTGTCATCACACAACTCTAGGTGTCTGTCTCTGAATATTAATGCTGGGATCTGAACATGGTGAAATTATAGTACCCAAAGTACTCGAACCTGAGCCCCAAAACGCCTCAGTGATAACATCAGTAGCTTGTGCTTGGACATGTGTGCTATTAAAACTTAGGGAGTGTTATTTCTTTTACAAAAACAGGGATTGTTTGCAGTTACACACTAAAGATGCTATTATTTCCTCCTATAATAACTGCTAACATAATTGCTCATAATTACTCTTAAGCCTTGTTCAGAAGTACTTTACATAAAACAATTAGTGGTTGATAATTCCTTCTTTAATGCTTCTTGTTTGTGTCTCACCATTCAGGCACAGTGACACACAACAGATACACACTGACTCCTTTTCAAAAATTTAATTAACAAGAGCAAGGACTTCTACTTTAAACTGTTTCACTACAGGTTGCACCTTGTCTGTCCCCACTGCTTGGCATTGTAAGTAATAGGTTCACTGCTAAAGTCCAACACTAATTAACATACATAGTTTCCTCTGTGTGAATTCAAACTCATGAGATACATATCTGGAGCCAGACACAGTGGCTTACATGAAAAAGGGGCCAAAAGTCACATTTTAAGTGGAGGTAATGTTAAAAGTGCTTTGTTTATATGTGAGTTTATTAAATGTCTGATTTCCCCACTGAGTGTAACACAATGGCTCAGTCAGTATTGTTAGCTGTGTGATGTCTCTCCTCTCCTCTGAATATTCTGATTTAGTGGTGGATCCTTTTCATTGTGTTTGCCTCTTTGGTGAAAAATGGAGTACCAAAGTCTTTACATTGGAAAGAAATTAAAGCAAACATCTGTGGCATAATGGAGAGAGACATAAATTCTCTCACTATTAAGTTTGTTGTGTGTTTGCCACCGAACGTGACCAGCATGCAAGTGCCAGATCAGTGGACTGTAACTCGTTTGATGGGCATGTTCAACACATGGGCATGATGCCAATTTAGACAAGCATGCCCATGGAAAGAGTTTCAGCCTGCATGCTAAGTGTGTGAATATAACCGTGTGTGTAATTGTGCACATGTGAAATTGCAAATAAAACATATTTTCTATATAAATTAACTTCAATTGAATTATCAGTGGACATGTATGTTATTTTGTACCTCTGGACCCAGTGTCAGTAAATGTAAGTGTGATATACATAATTTGCAAAATAAAATCTAAAGAGTTTACCATTATACTGGCTCATTGCTGTTGTTGTACTTATTATGATTTTGGATATGTGTTATTCTAAAAAGAGGTACTGCAACTTTAGTTAGAACTTAAAAAAAACACCTAAACCTGCAGGTAATTTGGCTTTTCTAGATATGTATATATACTGTACATATACTGACATATACTGTAAAGGCAAAGTAGATACAATGTACAATGCTGCCATCTCCTGGATACAATAATTACTGCATACTTACTGTGTGAAAGCTTCAAGGCCAGTTCTCTTGTTTTTCGGTTGGCTCTTTTTCCTTTCCTCTCAGGGGGTCAGAAGATGGAGTCCAGTCTTTTCTGAGATGAAGTACACCTGAACACACACCCTGGACTCAGAATGCACGCAATGCAAGCTCCTTCCATTTCTCTTCCCCCCAGGTCTGCCAGCTAACTGTGCTGTGTTGTTTGCTTCACGTCCATGCACTCACACACTCCATACACAGCATACGTTCTGTTTCATAGACATAGCTTATTTGTATTTGAAGTATATTTTGGTAAATGTTTCATAAAAAATGTTTGCTCTACTATAGAACTGTTTGTGGCCTCCCCACTTTGTCATAAACTGTTGAGCTACAAGACCAGATCCTGCATCAGGGTTGGAAACTGGTATTGTTATATTTAATAATACTATGATTTTATCGTATTATGATTCCATATCTATCTATCTATCTATCTATCTATCTATGGGCATGGGTGGCAAAAATGGGGGATCCACCACTTACTGATCAGTAATTCATGTTATCATTATTGTTGTTGTGTCAGGTATTTTGAAAGCAGATTCAGTGGCATACGATGAACTGCAGCTGAGAGTTTGTATAGTTCCGATGTTGTCTTATTCTGGCTCAACCATCGTAACATCTTATGGATTATTATTTTTATTGATTCATTTTATTCCACACTGCCTCTTTAAGTCAGTGGCCACCTGCTCTTTTGGCGTCAGCATCATCCGCAGGCGGCACGATGGCAATCGATACGGCAGTGAAATGTTCAAAATGGGATATTTTAGGAAAACCTCGGCATGCAGAGGGAGACAACCGAGCTGATTCACACAACACGAGACGAGCATGAAACCTGTTCTCAATGTAGCGGCAAAGGTAGGTTCACTTGTTTACTTAGTGTTCAAAGATGCACATTGGTTTATTGCTCTAATCCCGTATTAAAACATACTAAAATCATAAAAAAGTCAGGCGTTTTGGCTTTGATGCCTATCCGAAATTTTGCATGGACCTCCTTTCCTTTAGTAGGGATGCAAAAGGACTGAGAGCGTAGCTTGTGACTGACAGGGAAACACAGGTGTGGGAGAGAATCAGACTCGTAAAACTGTGAGAACACAATGTACAGGCTCAGTGGTGAACCTCTGTAAAAACTCTAAAATGTCACTGTCATCGTAAGCCATGACCTATCAATATTGGAGACGTGTTAACAGCCTGCATCGAGGAGCTACTGTATATTCTGCATTAATTCAAACAGTCTTTGGATGCTGTTTCTCAACGAACCTAGCAAGAAATCAAGAGGCCGATTTCAGTTTATCTTTAACATGAGAGTTTTAATTTATTGTGTCACACCGGTGTCTTATCGCCTGTTTCTTGAGTTGAACTGAGCGGTTCCGTAAAGACACCTG